TACTGCCCTGTAAATCCAAAGTGCTTGGACAGCTTGTTTGGTCCAAAGTGATTCAACACCTCACACTCGCACAGAGCCAAGTCTTAAAATACAAAAATTTAATGACCAGCCACATTTAGAGAAGTCTGAAATGTTCCACGAGATTCTATATATCTGTGTCGTAAAAAAGAGAAATCTGTAAAGTGTTTCAGTAGTACAGTTCTAGCCATTGGGCAGCTTGGGTAGTGAATGTGTTGGCACATGGGTCGTATCTGTGTGGTCGGTCGGTTGGTTGGTTGGTTGTGTGTCCTGTCACTCTTCATGCAGACTGTAGCAGCTCAAGGCAGAGGAGGGAGGGAAGGAGGGTTAAAAAGAACTTCCAGTTCTTACAGATGGGTCTCATCCCTGGTCTCAGGTCCATAGTCTTGTCGTAGCTTGGCTCCGGCCGGAGCCCCTGGGAGATTCTCAGGGACGTGTGCCAGCGGATCAGAGCGGATGATGTAGCTACAGAAAGGTGGAAAACAGGTTGAATGGTTAAAAACCAGCTGGCTGAACCGAGCACAGTGTTTAAGGTGATCAAATATTGATCTATAATGAAAGTCGGATCAGATAAATCATAATATAAATATAATTTCAGTGCCAGTAGCCACACCAAAATGTATTTGCAAAATATCGCAAATTGTATATTTGTACAACCCTTAGGTTTTTCATATTGTTTATGTTTTGTAGCATAACCCTAATGTGGTAGCATACAGGCTGTTTATTGGTCATATGATGAATTTGTCCTTTCTCTTTTGAGTGTTACAAGCTCTTGGTGCATAAAGAAGATCTGTAAAGTTGCAAAGACTAAAGTCTCAAATCCAAAGAGATATTCTTTATAAAAGTTAAGAGTCAACCACGCCTACCTAAAACGGCTCGTTCTAACATGCCCCCACATATCTACGTCACAATGTGGGAATATTTGCATAATGCCGCCCAAATGTTCACGCAAAGAAGGCGTAACTTTTATTCTCGCTGTAGTATTGTTGTTGCCGCCATGTCGTGAAGGTGCTGTGTTTCGTTGTGAAAGCGAAACTACTTTGTTTGGTCTTCCAAAAGAGGATGATATCCGCTTCGTCATGCCTAGAGCTGATCCATGCTGGTCGCTGAGGAAATACATCAACTTCGCGCTGTGGATCGCCGGATCGGCTTTCACCGTAGATGAAGCGGAGTCCAGCCCGGGGTCGTCACATGTGGTTGCCGCAAGCCCGCTGGCCACGCCATTCTCAAGCTCACCGGCCTCCTCTCACTCAGCCCGCCGCCGCTCAGTCAAGCTGGCTGCCGCTCACTCTAGGCCGCCATGTGTGACGCTGTGTTTCGTTGTGAAAGCGAAACTACTTTGTTTGGGCCTTCCAAAAGAGGACACGACTAGAAATCAGTGGTTAAGTTGTATTTACAACACTGTTCCAGAACACTTCAACCCAAATATTCAGATGTGTCCAGCGCATTTTATGGAGGACTGTTTCCTGATCCTGGTAGAGTAGACTACAATGCCGGCTGTTCTGACTCAAAGACTGTAAGTACGTTTTTTATATTTAAAGAATTTGCCACTGATGATTCAAACGCGAGTTTTGAGCAGTGTAGAGTAGCGCTTGTTGTTTGTCATTTCTCCGATCACAAATGCAGACATGGTGTTATGTTTACGTGGCGTGATGCAACGCGTAAAAATACAGTATAAGTCATTATAATACGTAATTATGTCCCCACTGGATGCAACAAATGCCTCGTTTATAATGGGTTTTAATGTTTTTGTCTCGTCGCTCCGTAAAAATACAGTATAAGTCATTATAATACGTAATTATGTCCCCACTGGATGCAACAAATGCCTCGTTTATAATGGGTTTTAATGTTTTTGTCTCATCGCCCCAGCCGGGACAAGGCATCACAATATGGTAAGGGGCGTAACATTTCCGTCACATGCTTGAGGTATTCGGCCAATCACAACGCACTGGATAGCTGGCCAATCAGAGCACACCTCGCATTTCAGCCCAATTAGCTTTGTAAAAATCAACGCGTTTCAGAAAGGTGGGGCATAGAGGAGAAACAATAATGTACAGTATGTGGAAAATAATGTGTTTTAACCTTGAACCGCATTAACACATTTCATTACACCAAATACACAAAATAATGTTCTTTTTAGCAACATCATATGACCCCTTTAATGCCTTCTGCATGGTCATATTTTAGATCCCTTAATCCCCATACATAAACTCAACTATTTTACTAACTATTAATAAAGAAACTAGGAGTTTATTGAGGCAAAAGTTGTAGTTAAACGTTAGTTAATAGCGGGGTATTCCCACCCCAAATGCATGCCAGAAGGTAATATGACGGAAAAAAATGCTGATCATGTATCGACTTTTTTAGTGCAAATGCTGTCTTGCTGCCAAAGGCAATTTACACTCTACCCATCACTGTCTGGTTGAGTCAGACAAAATTGACCTGACCGATCTGAGCTTCAGTCTGCCAGATGAATCTCCAGTCACATTCATCTTGTTCTCATCACAAATCATTTTGAACAGCGGTTCTTAATCCTGGTCCTCATGACCACTCACGTGGCACATTTTGTATATTTCTCTTATTGCTTTAGAAGTTTGTTCCGTTAAACGTAAGTGCAAGTGCCCTGCGAGGTGGACATTACAGGATATTCTGCCATGATTCCAGTTCAAAAGGAGCACATATGTTCCATTCAAAGGGCATTAAAGTGCGCGAGATGTTACTACAATGCAAATCTCATGATTACGGTTAAATAACACTTCACACTTCAATAGAAAGTTTTGTCTGTGTGAGAAGACATTGCGGGCAGTGGTGTAGTGCAAATCTGTGTTCTTAAATTAAGTAAACTTTGGCCGATTTGCTGTGTGCAGGGAGTAGTGAACACTGTGTAGGGACCATGTCAATTGGAACACAGTTCATTCATGGAGCTCTCTTCTAACAAGCTGGTGATCTGAATCAGGTGTGCTAAATGAGAGACATGCAAAATATGCAGAGCGGGGGATGTGAGAACCAAGATTAAGAACCGCTGATTTTGGAGATGCATTTATTTTTATTAAAAATGAAGAAAAAGTGGAAGTAAAGTACCAAATAGATATCGCATAGGCCTATAATTGGTATAAACCTCACACTGATTGGACGGGCTGGCAATATGTTTGGCTCATGAAAATGTTTTTATAATTGCATACTGTTCTATATTGTATGTACAGTATTTGCCACTATTTGCAAGTATAAATAGCATCTAACACCATTTACACTAAATAAATAGCACAAATTAAGTAGCATTTAACACAATTTGCACTTAAAGGCAAATGGCATTAGCCAAATAAATATTTTATAAATATATATTTTATTCATAGTTTCATTTTCTTCGTACTACATCTACAGACTTATAAATTGTTTACTTGTCACATTTAACTGGAAAATAAGTTCCCTTTCAGTCGGTCACTCTCAACGTCACGTCGGAGGACCGACGAAATTGGGATCTCACTTAGAGGGACCAATCTACTTCGAGTGTAAACTAAACGAGCCAATGCAAATTGGCATGCGATTATTGCATCCAGCTGCTGCTGATCACAGCGTGAGTATAAGTAGGCAGCAGGTGCAGCGCATATTCAGCTTTTCGCTTCGGAGCCGAGCGATCACATCGTTCTGCTCCTGATTACTCTACTGAGAGAAAAGACTGAACGAGTTCAGCGCGCTCTTGGAGAGCTCTTCGTGTTGGTGGACGGCGCTTCAGCGGTGGTGGTTCCCGTGTCGAGTGGGTTGCACACATCAGGCTGCACTACCCCCTGTTTGTGTTGCAGATGATCATCTCCCCTGTGCGCCTCAGCACGCTAAAAGAGCTTTTTCTCCTAAAAGAGCAATTTCGGGTGCGTCTTTCTAAAGACGACGTTGCTTGGCAAACTTGACGTTACGTCTTTATAAAGACGATGTGGCTCTTGCTATAAGGCACTGAGGGACTTGCACGAGGGTGGTCACGACCCGGAAGTTCAGAGTGAACTCCGCACCGCGCCGGACCTCGCGCCACAAGCGACGAAGGTTACTGCGCGGTCTCTGGGTCGTGCGATGTCCACTATGGTGGTCCGGGAGCGCCAATTCTGGCTGTGACTGGCTGACATGCGCGAACATTAATAAAACTGCACACGTCCCCCTTAAAATATGCCACTTACACAATGTCATTGAGCTCTAGAATGGTGTCCGGAGGAGGGTTTATCAGCACATATGACAACGTGTTCTGATTATCATTCATTTCATCTGCAAGAGAAAACAAAACACAGTATCACTATCATACTTAACCCATATCAGTTCTTAATAATTTAAAACATTTATTCTGAGAAATTATCCGTAACATTTATCTCTGTTCCTACTACAAATACAACTATGCTGTTGACGGAGTAAGAATAGCCAAAAAAAAAGAAACCAAAATTGGAAAATATATTAAATCAAAATGTCCAAAATATATGGAAGGCAGTTGTTGTGTAACCCCACTGTGCTTGGATTTTTTTGGCTGAGTTTCTGAGGCTTTGTTGTATTTTACCTGCTTATAAATGACTGAGAAGTGTGAACCTTTGCAGGTCTGGAAATAAGGGACTCAAGACTGGGACAAAGTGCCTCTGCTTCTCCAAACCCACCTGTTTGAGCCACTTATAGCGCCAGGCCAGGTAAAAGAGAGAGAAGGGCTAACCGTTACTGACAGGGCATGGCTGCATTTACGGAACGCCCATGCAACCGCAAGCGATCCCCATGCGCGGACGCATGCAGACAGGGACCTCATCCACACACGCTTTCAGTCTCTCAATCAATCAATCAATCAATCAATCAATCCATCCATCCATCCATCCATCCGTCTACTGCATCATAACCACAGCTGACCCAATGAAAGTTGCTTGTTGCCATGCCAACACACAGCCCAAAGTCAGCAAACAGTAAGACCGACACACAGATATAAGCATGCTTAGAGGATCTGTCAGGCCCACCAAGCCAAGGCTTGACCAATCAGAGTGAAGCAAAAAACATTAGTAGTGTGGGATTGGGAGGAGTCAATAGTCATATGCAAATTAACCAATTACACCAATGGGAAACTCAAATACTTCTCCCAGTATCACCCCGTTAAAAAGAATTTAAAAAGCTGTAAATCAGTACAAGCAGACTAACAAGTGTATGCCTAAATACCTGCTCTAGATGGACCCTTCCAACAAAGACTGAATGCTTTCTACTCCACTCTGTCCAAACATCCTGGAATCAAAAGCCCTCACTCATCATATCTTATATCAATGCTCAGATGCCAGTGAGTACCTGCAGTACCCTCTGTCATGTAAGTACCCTCTTCAGTTCGTACCAGAGGAGAAAAAGACAACTACATCACTGATTTAACTATAAAATCAGACTTCATTATTTCAGAAACAGGTCAGCACTGGTGTCAAATGACATTGTTGTTCAGGAGCATGTTTTTGCAAACATAATGATACAAAATCTTAGGTGTGATACTGCTGATTAGGTCAGAAAACATTGAATAAATAATAATATTAAATAAATACTGCATTCACATTAAAAAAAAAACGTGGCTATGTAAAAAATACAAAGTCTGCATATACTGTATATTACACCCACACATAGTCTATGCAGAATAAACTTGTAGACTTTATCCATAATTGTATTTAATTCATTAAAATGCTATACATTTTCTTTACCTTTTGCATTTATGTACAGTATAAGTATGGAATAAGGTACAGTCATCACTGCGAAAAAAAAAGTTTTTTATTTTGCAGTAATGACTGGCTGACTGTGCATTATAACGATTATTACACAGCTATTTAAAAAATGGATGTGAAATATGAATTTGAGCTGAAATGACTCAAATGGGACAACATTAAGTTAAATAGCTTAGTGGTCATTATATAAGACTGGTGAATGCTGCAGTTCACCAATCTGAATCAAGTATTCCAGTGAGCTGTGTAATAATGAATTATACATAAATGCAAATTTGATTATAATGATATCAGTTGGCTTTACAGATAAGCACAGAGGCTGGTCAACCATGTTTCTAAATCATACTCTTTTTGTCCAGCGCCATTATAATATCAATGGCCAGCAGTTTCCTGTGGTCTGTTTTTAATAAGATAAGAGGAAGGCTCATTGAACACTGACTAGCCAAATGATGATGTCATCTGGAAAAAATGTTGTAAAAAGAGAACTGCAGGCAGCAGACCTTAGACATTTTCATGTAGCTTTAGGAAGAAACTGTCAGCCAGGAAAAATGCAAGAATCAGGTACATTTAAAAACAACAACAACTGAATTGCACAGAATTTTCAATGTGAAAGAAAATAAATTAATTAAGGCCTGTTAAAGGTATAGTTTACCCACAACTGAACATTTCCTGAAAATGTACTCGCCCTCAGGCCATCCAAGATGTAGATGAGTTTGTTTCTTCATCAGAACAGATTCGGAGAAATCCAACATTAAGACGTTTTATACCAGTGCTTCTGGCCAGCATATCAGTCCATAATTCATAATAACACTTCCTTCAGTGAAAAAGTCCAACCTCTGTTGTCCTCTTACAACAAAATACTTACGACATACTTGTTTAGAACTATTTTGGACTCTTTTCATTTTGTAAACAGTGCTTGATCTGTGCATATTTCACTCCCGATTCAGACAAGATGGCTTTTTCACTGGAGAAAGCAATAATACGAATAGAGGACTCATATTTTAGTACGAAGCTTTTCACTTCACAAGACATTAACTGATGAACTGGAATGCTTGTAGATTATTGTGATGTTTTTATCAGCTGTTTGGACTCTCATTCTGATGACACCCATTCACTGCATAATTCACTGCTGAGCAAATGATGGTCTGAGGGCGAGTACATTTTCGGCAAATTTTCATGTTTTGGGTGAACTGTTCCTTTAAAATGCCACGAAGCGTTTTCCTTTGGCTTTCAGTGCTTATCCTATTAAACACTACTGATGCCATTCTAATTAATGTCACTGGACAAACTGAGCAGTGGAGTTTCCAATTGACATCCGTCTCCAGAACATCAGGTTTCATTCAGCTCATTACTCAAGTGACTTGATCCACTGGCACAATCCTATACTACAGGAACAGTGATGTTGGGTGGATTTACCTTGCAAATATCCTAGATTTACTCGGTTCATCACATCACTTGCGGTTAAATTAGCTACGTCCTCTACAGCGTGTGGAGAAAAGGCTGCAAATTTTCATGTTTTGGGTGAACTGTTCCTTTAAAATGCCACGAAGCGTTTTCCTTTGGCTTTCAGTGCTTATCCTATTAAACACTACTGATGCCATTCTAATTAATGTCACTGGACAAACTGAGCAGTGGAGTTTCCAATTGACATCCGTCTCATTACTCAAGTGACTTGATCCACTGGCACAATCCTATACTACAGGAACAGTGATGTTGGGTGGATTTACCTTGCAAATATCCTAGATTTACTCGGTTCATCACATCACTTGCGGTTAAATTAGCTACGTCCTCTACAGCGTGTGGAGAAAAGGCCAAAGTGGAAAGAGATAAGAAAGAAAAGGTCAAGCAAGCAGCAGAGAAAGCAGCACTTTTTAAAGAGAAAGAACAAGAAAAATTCACCGTGCAAAAAACACATTCTCAAAATATTTTACACTATTATGACTGCTAAGGTTTATATTTGTTATAGTTATTTAAAATGTCATCAATAACAGAACACTATGGTTTACATCTCATTTTTAAAGATAAAGTGCATAAATGTCTGTGTAAGATGAGACGGAGTAGTTTTAACATGAAAAAATACACTTCATCTTCAGTTTTCAACAGTATTTCTCAGGGTTGACAAGTGGAAAATAGAGAATGATTTTTTGCAACATGGAGGATAGAAAGTGAGTAAAGTTTCTAGAAAAGTGATTAGAATAAACAATGCAGGGCACACAAAACCGAAGTCAATGGTGTTCTACCCTTCAACAATAAAAGATATTCATTATGACAGTATAAACCCACATGTTATAATACAGGAAATATTTCTTCTTAAGGACATCTATGATATACAGAGAAGTCCAAAGGTTTGAGTTGAGAGTATTAAGAAATCTTTGTTTATCTCTGGAAATACGTTTTGGGATATTGGTAAATAAAATAAAAAATCAATAAAATAAAACAAATAAATAGTATGATGCAAAATTAAGATAAAATGTAAGATTCTACATGTTTTTTGGGTCACTAATCATATTAAGTAAATACATTTGTGATTATGTGACAGAAGGTCAGATGTTCTTGCTTCCTCTGGAGTTCAAGATGTTGTTTGTATCATCTCAAATCATACTGGAGAATATGATCATTAGCTTTGACCCAAACTTGTGGAGCTCATGCAGCTTGAACAATTTAAGATAATCATTAAAAATTTAATTCTACTCAAAACAGTATGTCAGTTACATCATTTGGATGTAAAGATGGTTTAGAATGAGAAAATAATGCATAATATAAGTACCTTTGGACCCCAGTGTAGATCTAAAAAAACTAATATTTGTCCTAAAGAAACTTTAAAAATATTCCCTTATGTTTCTCTTTAATCTGCTGTTTTCCTGTGACCCCTGATAAAGGACGTTTCAGATGAATAATTACTGATGCAGGGGTTACAAGGAGACGCTATTATATGATTTACAAAGAGAAACACTGTGAAAACTGATCTCCAGAATAGTACATTTATAATAACGCACTATAGCAAGAAGACATCAATGTAAGGGGTTCTGTACCTTCAGTATTTTCGTAGGTACAAATAGAAATACTCACTTCCCCTTGTCAAACTCACCATATCCCACAGTGGGCAGCCCTAAGTGCTTCATGCGGTTCTTCACCAGCTCTGACAGCTCCTGTCTCTCTGAGCGCCGGTACAGGTTCAGGCGCTGTTGACTGATGCGTTCAGATCGACTGGGCATTTTGTTGTTTTTTCTGCTCAGCCGTCTCGCCCACTGCATGCTCTTCTTCCGCAGAAGTGGGTGCTCTGATTGGTCGCTCCCTGTGGAGTTTCTGTGGGCGGTTTTCTCTTTCCAGGATTCCCTGCGGTCCCGCGGGTCCTCACAGTCCTCCACAGACACCTGAGACTGCTCAGCATGGAAACAGGTTGTCAATAGGTTAACAGTGTTTAAGTGGCACGCCGATATTTTCATTGTCTGCTGGCTGAAGTCATTATGTTTTACCTTTTTTTTGTACCAGTTTTTTTAGCAGCTGAACAACTTTACTCTGGAAAGAAGCACTAAGTAATTACACATATAATTTTAGCTGACTCTAATTCATCTACTGACAGGATGCCATTAGCCTTGTCTACGTTTAAGGCCGTTCTGAAGTTTGGGGTCAGTAAGAATTTTTTTTTTTTAAAGAAATTAATACTTTTATTCAGCAAGGATGCATTCAATTGATCTAAAGTGACAGTACAGATATTTATAACGTTAGAAAAGATTTCTTAAGACTGGAGTAATGACTGCTGAAAATTCAGCTTTACATCTCAGGAATAAATTACATTTAAAAATATATATTAATAAATATATTTCACAGTATTACCATTTTTACTAAATGCAGCCTCTGTAAGGATAACAGGCAAAACATTTTAATAAAAATTGTTTTAAATGTTGGATTTAGCTTTAGTACAGTTACAATAAAAAGCAATTAATTAATTTTGGAAACAACAGTTTAATGTTACACTAACATTTTTCTCACAGAGTATAAATGGATATTTATACATAAAAATACACAGCCGTGTTTATATTTTAGAAAGGAATCCTCATATTTGGGGACCCTTAGCAGCAGAACGTTATTGAGTGAAAAAAATATTGAGTGAACAAATGACTTAATTCCCCTGTAAATAAACCAACTTACATTACTAAATAATTTAAACAACTGTTATTTATTTACATAGTATTTATTAACAAATTATACAGATCAGCAGCACATAACGAGTGAGTGAAAGTAATGGATGTTGGACAGAAAACAAACAGCTGAAACAGCACCATTCCATTAACATATGACAATGTAGTTGTGAAATGGGGAGAAGTATTCTTACCTGCTTGCAAACCTCCTTAAACTGGAACAAGCAATAGATGTGAATGAGATGAGAAATTATTAGCACAAGGATTGCATAAGCTTCAAGTCACAACACTGCTAATAAGGCAGCCAGCAAAGCCATGATATAGACCAAAATAAAGCTGTAAATCTTGAACACTGCACAAGATTAAGTAAAGGCACAGTTACAGATCGTATCTGCTGTGCAAGCATCTGGAGCTGGATGAACCATTTAAAATGAGTGTATTCAGCCGTGTCTGAACTCTCTGATCTCTTCCTCTTTATCTCATCTTACCTCGGAGGAGGAGAACATGTGAGATTCAGTGCGGTATATCCCAATGGGAATTTCTGCGCTGGATGAACACAGCTTCTGGAATAGTCTTCCGTACGTCCGGATCCACAAGTCCTCTTCCGTTACCTTCATCTGTTTCAAAAGTGAAGGGTGAAGATCATTAAGAAACATTCTGGCCATATTTTACTAAACTAAACTAAACTAAATTCACCTATTATGGATTTTTGAAAATTACCTTTCATGCAGTGTGTAACAGCTCTACGTGAATGAAAACATCCTGCAAAGTTTTAAATCTGAAAGTGCACCATGTATAAAGTTATTTTCTCTCAAAAGAAAGAGTCGACTTTTAATCATTGAAACGAGTCATTTTTAAAACGAATCCCAAGCCGTTTCATGGTGACGTCAACATGAAACATTAGCATATTGCCCGCCCACTTGTTGCGCGCGCAGACCTGGGAAAGCTTGAACTGGAAACTTTTACCCCCCGGAATGCTATTTTTACCGGGGAACCCCCCTCGAAACGCGATTGGGCTAGTTTTGAATAGCAATTGGGTGGGTTTTGTTGTGAAAACCTGGCAACACTGCGGATTCCTGTGGATAGCATCAGGTAGAGAAGACGCTATGAGGGTAAATCTGTTTTTTTTTTTGCTGCCAAAGGACGAGGCTGTGAAGAATCAATGGTTAAAGTTCATTTTTACAGCAATGCCACAGCAGTATAGCCCCAATCTTGTGTTGTGTCCCTGTCATTACTGAAGACTGCAACAGCAACCCACAGACTCTCTATGTGTGACGGGGCTTCCCCCGTGGGATATATACTGGTTCACATTTACAGCTCTGTGTTTTCGATTTTCGTGTTGGTCTGAATGAAAATGCAAATTCATTCTTTGCCACTAGGTGCCACTTTTGGAGTAGTAAAATAGCTGTTTCCCTGGTAACGGCTGTACACAAAGCAGCACTGCGCTCACAAAAGCTGCTTTATCAGGAATTACAGGCAAGATTAAGAGTGTATTCACACCAGGAAAGTCCGCTAGTTCACTTGCTTTTGCAACACCAAATACAATGTTGATTTTTTTTTGTTTGGTGCAGTTCGCTTTCACACTGCCCTTTTTTGCAAGTGAACCAGAAATTGTAAACAAAACCACACGTGTGCTAAGGTCATCCATTCATTGGACAGAAATTCTCAAGCAGTGAAAAACAGAAAGTGCAAAAACAGGCTAATCATGGAGATCTTTCGTAGTACAAATTATATTTTTTTACTGATTTGGTGTTATCAGATACTAATGCAATACGAGGAAACTTATGAGCATCATATGAGACAATGTCATGCAATGTTGTAATTACGACTAGCCGAAAATAAAATCTATAGTTATAAAATAGGCTGCTTAAAGCATATCACAATGTTAGTTTAAACATTTAACCTATATAAATGTGCGCTATTAGGTACATATCCAATCGTTTGTGCAGAGAGTGGAAGCTGAAGCGCGCTTCAGGACATCAGTGGAAACAAATTAAATACGCTGTCATTTTTGCTCATAAAGGTAAGAATAATAAATTGTTCAGAACTGTAAAGGGTCTATTTTTATTTGTGTGCACTCACAATATCAAGAAAACTTTGTGCTTTTGTAAAATAAAGAAAACAAACAGGATGCGCTTGCCGTCTCGGTCTTGAACAGGAGTGCTTCAAAAAAATGCACCAAAATGCACCAAAACTCAGCGAATATTTTCCTTACAGACATGATGAATATATCTATAGAAAGCTTTAAATGACTACAAAACAAAATAATTCAAATCCAAAACAAAAACTCTTATTATTATTATTATTATTATTAATTGTCCAACGATGAGATGGCGAGTCA